AAAGGATGATTGATTTGAAGTGGCTAGTATCTAGAAGCTAGTAGTTAGTATCTAGTTCCCCTGGCGCGCCTAATGTCGCATCATGATCAAAAATATATCACAGGGGACTGAAAGTTAAATTTTAATTTCTAGTACAAGTATTGAGTGTAATCTGAAGCGTTAATTTCTAAATACATTTTCGTAAAGGCTCCCTTCGGGGGATTTAGGGGGCTTATTGGATTATGGTCGCTCCAAAGAAAGCCCCAACAATCAACCGGTGGACCATGCCAAAGAAACAGGGAGCACTCGATATTTCTGATTGTCAGTGGTAAATCGGTTTAGTTATATGCTATTAATTTGATTTGGAAAAAAGGAGTGTTGGGATCTCTATGGTTTCAATGCTCCTTTTTTTGAGCAATTTTCAAAATGCTTTGCGCAACTCAGCGCCCTCTCCGCCTCCGCGTTGAAGCAAATCAGGTTTCGCATTTCCAATTTCCAATTTCGAGCTTCGAATTTAGCATTTAGGATTTAGCGTTTCGAATTTCGGATTTCGAGCTTCGAATTTAGCGTTTCGAATTTCGAGTTTAGCATTTCGAGTTTCGCATTTCCCATTCCACCATCTATCTCTTCATCGCCCGGTCCATTTCACGCTTCACCTGCTTCTCTTTGAGGGTGTTTCTCTTATCGTGCAGCTTTTTGCCCTGGGCCAGGGCTATCCGCATTTTGGCCAGACCTTTCGCGTTGATGTAGAGATTTAGCGTTACAATGGTGCGATTGCCCTTTTCCACTTCGGCTTCAAGCTTCTTGAGCTCGCGTTTGTGAAGCAGTAATTTGCGCTCACGCGTAGGTTCGTGGTTCATAATGTTGCCGTGGTCGTATTCGGCAATGTTCATGTTTTTTACGTACAGCTCACCGTCTTTAAAATAGCAATAGCTTTCCGGCAAACTGGCCTTTCCTTGGCGTATGGATTTAATTTCGGTGCCCAGTAATTTTATGCCCGCCTCATACGTGTCAAGTATTTCATAATTGAACTTGGCCTTGCGATTTTTGATGTTAATATTGTCTTTTGGCATAGGCTGCGAAGGTAAGGGGTTAATTAGTACACTCGTTAAATAACAAAGCCACAAACTACGCCCCCAATTAACTAATTCACAAATCAACTAATTAAATTTGCCCCATGTACAAGAATCTCATTCGTCCTCTGCTCTTCAGGCTTTCGCCTGAAAAAGCGCATCACTTCACATTTGGTCTCGTTAAAAACCTGCATCGTGTACCCGGTGTGGCGGGAGTTAATCGCGGTTTGTACGCTCCCGCGGATGAGCGCCTCAAGATCAAGCTCTGGGGTTTGGAATTCCCTTCACCGGTAGGCCTGGCCGCTGGCTTCGACAAAGATGGAAAGCTCATTGACGAATTGGCCAATTATGGCTTCGGCTTTCTGGAGGTCGGTACCGTTACCCCCAAGCCTCAAGCAGGCAATCCCAGCCCGCGCCTCTTTCGGCTGGAGCAAGATAAAGCCTTGATAAACCGCATGGGCTTTAACAACCAAGGAGTAGATACCCTGGTTGAGCGTTTGAAAAAAAGGCGAAATAAAAAGGTGCTGATAGGAGGGAACATTGGCAAAAATAAAGTCACGCCCAATGCAAACGCCTTAGAAGATTACCGCTATTGCCTAAAAGCCCTGCACCCGTATGTAGATTATTTTGTGGTGAACGTTTCTTCGCCCAACACGCCCAATTTGCGGGAGCTGCAGGAAAAAGAGCCGCTGAAAAAGATGTTGGCTCAACTGAAAACAGACAATGAAAGCTACGATACGCCCAAGCCGATTTTATTGAAAATTGCTCCGGATTTAACCGATGCTCAACTGGATGACATTGTAGAAATAGTGTTGGAAACCAAAATTGAGGGCATTATTGCTACCAATACCACCATAAGCCGTGACGGTTTGCAAACATCAAGTACTGAGATTGAGCAAATTGGTGCGGGCGGATTAAGTGGTGCCCCGGTTAAAGAGCGCTCAACCGAGGTGATTCGCTACCTGAACCAAAAGAGCAAGGGAAAAATCCCATTGGTGGCCGTTGGTGGAATATTCACTCCTGAGGATGCAATCGAGAAGTTGGAGGCCGGTGCCAGCCTGGTGCAGGTTTATACCGGCTTTATTTATGAAGGCCCAGCCATGGTGCACAAGATTAACCGCGGTATTGCCCGGCATAAAAAAAGCGTCCGCTGAGTTTGAAAGGAGTAAGTAACTGCTTCTGNNATTACATTGCAGCATATTCGTTGCTATGAAAAAGTTGCTTGCCCTTTTATTTACCCTGGCCTTTTTACATTCATCCGCGCAACAAATTACCTGGAGCGGTGATGTTGCCGAAATACTGTACAAAAACTGCACTTCTTGTCACAATCCCAACGGCATTGCGCCCTTTTCCTTGATGCAGTACACCGATGCCGCCAGTTGGGCCAGCACCATTTCTTACGCAGTACAAAGTGGAAGCATGCCGCCCTGGAAAGCCGATACCAGTTTTCAGCGCTTTGCCCACGAGCGCATTCTTACGCAAAGTGAAAGGAATAAAATAGTATCCTGGGTAAATAACAACAGTCCTGCCGGAGATTTAACGCAGGCGCCAGCGCCCCCGGTTTATCCCGCTGATGGATATTTGGGGCCGGCCGATTTGGAAGTGCAAATGCCGGTTTATACCAGCAAAGCCACTGCCACCGCAGACGATTACATCTGCATAGCTTTGCCCAGTGGCTTAACAAGCGACAAAAAGATCAGGGCCGTGGAAGTGATTCCCGGAAACCGCAATATTGTGCACCATACCTTGGTTTTCCTGGATTCCACCCGGCAGTATCAAACCGATACCGTTGGCGGTGATTGTGGGGGACCAAGTGCCGGAACCATGGTGACCGGCTACGCTCCGGGCGGAAATCCCACCATTTTCCCCAATGGCAGCGCCCTAAAAGCAGGCATAACCATGCGCGCCAACTCCAACGTAATATTGGCCATGCATTATCCGGAAGGATCGGCCGGGCAGAAGGACAGCACCAAGGTGCGCTTTTACTTTTTTCCAGATAATGAGCCCAACGTACGCAGCATAAAAACCGCGCCCTTGCTGCAAAGGTGGAACTTCTGCATTGAGCCCAATCAAGTGAAGCAGGTAAATAATTGGTTTCCCTCGGCCACCGTGGGGCTGCAATCCGATTACTCGGCCTTGAGTGTATTTCCACACATGCATTTGTTGGGCAAATCCATAAAGAGCTATGCCGTGAACAGCAGCGGCAGTGATACCGTGCCCCTGATTAATATTCCGCACTGGGATTTTGAATGGCAAGATTTCTACTACTTTAAGAAAGTTCAGAAGCTACCCAAAACCTACCGCATTTACGGGGAGGCCAGCTACGATAACCGCAGCTCCAATCCGCACAATCCCCACAATCCGCCACAGCGGGTATGCGCGGGCTTAAATACCAGCGATGAAATGTTTCTGTTTTATTTTCACTACATGCCTTACCAAGCTGGAGACGAGAATATTGACCTGGAAAGCCTGATGCAAATGAATGTAGGAGATGCGGAGCTAAACTTGCCCGCCTATGCATCTATGCGAGTTTTCCCGAACCCGGCCGCACAGCAGGTGAATCTTGAATACCACCTTTCCGAAGCGGCATGGGTAAATTTGAGGATATATGACACCCGCGGCACATTGGTAGCCACCTTGCTGAATGAAGAGCAGCAGCGCGGCAAGCAGTCTCATAGTTGGGCCATAGGAGAGGGGCTGCCAACAAAGGGCGGGCTGTATTTTTATTCCATGGGCGTGAACGGAAAATACTATCAGGGCAGACTTCTGATTAAATAATACAACAATATGAATATCGCTTTTAGAAGTTTGAAATATTGTGCTTTACACGCCTTTATATTAAGTATTACTTTCAGTAATTTGGCTTGCTCACAAAATGCTTCATCGCAGCGGACGCCTCGCGAGGCAGAAGTTGTAATTACTGAATTGGCAGCCGGCTTAAATCACCCCTGGGGTATGGCATTTCTGCCGAATGGCGATTTGCTAATCACCGAAAGGAATGGGCAATTGCGCATTTTGAAGGCCAATGGAAACGTAAGCGAACCCATTGAGGGGGTTCCTGAAGTTTTTGACCGGGGCCAAGGTGGCCTGTTAGACGTGGCTCTGCACCCTGATTTTGAGGCGAATAAAATGATATACCTGGTTTTTTCAGAGCCGGGCGACAACAATACCGCTTCAACCGCTTTGGGCATGGGCAAACTGGTAAATAATACGCTTCAAAATTTTGAAGTGATTTTTAGCCAGCAACCCAAAGTAAAAGGCCCGAATCACTTTGGGGGCCGGGTAGTTATTGATGGCGATAAACTATTCCTCACCATGGGGGAGCGCTTTAAATTTGATCCCGCTCAGGATTTGAGCAATCACCTGGGCACCATTGTACGCCTGAATTTAGATGGCTCCATTCCTTCGGATAATCCCTTTGTGAATGATCCCTCGGCAAAACCGGAAATATATTCTTACGGAAATCGAAACATTGAATCAGCCGATATTGATCCGGCAACGGGAAATTTATGGGTGGCCGAGTTTGGCCCGCGGGGTGGAGACGAACTCAATCTCATTCGGCCGGGCAAGAATTACGGCTGGCCGGTAGTTAGCTGGGGCAACAATTACGATGGTTCCAAAATTCCCGATCCACCCACGCATCCTGAATTTGAAGATGCTATAATACNNGGGAATGCAGTTCTACACCGGCAGTATGTTTCCCAATTGGCAAGGGTATATGCTTATTGGCGGCCTCTCGTCACAAGCCTTGATCATTGTAGAAGTGAAAGGGACAAGAGCCAAGGAGGTGGATAGAATTGATATGAATGCGCGCATCAGAGACGTACAGCAGGCGCCCAATGGCTCCATTTATGTGCTTACCGATGATTCAAACGGAAAAGTTTTACGGTTGAGTAAAAAATAAAAACTCCGCCAAAACTTGACGGAGCCTTATTTTTTTGAAGAAACTTATTTTTTCTTGTTTCCTTTAAAGTTGCCGCGTTTGCCCTTAAACTTTTTGCCGCCTCCGCGGCCTCCTTCCGACTGGAAGCGTTTTTTAAAGTTGCCAGGTTTTCCGCCACCACCCTGGCGACCCGAGCCGCCACCGGTGCGTTTGCGCTTGCCGCCACTACGACCTCCGCCCGGAGCGCCTTTATCGTTCAAATCGCGGCCCTGAGCAAGGTTTAAGGTAAGCATTTCCTTCACCATGATCTTTGCCAGAAGCTCCTCTCGGCTAAGGCCGGAAAGTAAAATGTCGAGCTCCTGAAAAATAGCGGGATCCAATTTGTTTTTAACGGGAGTCTCCAAAACCTGTTGCGCCCAGTTGCGCATTCTATAGGCGGTTATTTCATCCACCTGAGGAACATCCACCTTGGTGAAATTGATTCCCAGGCTTTTCTCAAAACGAAATACACGGCCCTTTTCTTTAAAATTAACCAGTGCCAGAGAAATCCCTTTCTTACCGGCCCGCGCGGTTCTGCCGCTGCGGTGCGTGTAGTAGGATGCATCATCGGGCATGGTGTGGTGAATCACATGGGTTAAATCGGTCACGTCAATTCCCCGGGCGGCCACATCGGTGGCAATCAATACCTGTAACTCATGTGTTTTAAAGCGTTTCATCACGCGGTCGCGCTGTGGCTGCGAGAGGTCGCCATGCAGGGCATCGGCTTTATAGCCCAGCTTTAAAAGGTATTCGGCTAAATTTTGGGTATCGCGTTTGGTGCGGCAAAAGACCACCCCGCGCATGTCGGGATTTAAATCTAAAAAGCGCGTGAGTGCCTCGTCTTTATCTGATTGCCTTACCACGGCAAACTGGTGATCGATGTCGGTATTCACCTCATTGCCAGTATTCACCTTCACCTCAATTGGTTGGTACATGTAGGTGTTTACAATCTTTTTGATCTCCTTGGGCATGGTAGCCGAAAACAACCAGGTGATTTTTTCATCGGGCGTATGGCTCAAAATCTGGTCCAGATCTTCCTTAAAGCCCATGTTTAGCATTTCATCGGCCTCATCAAGCACCAGCATTTTAATTTCGTGCAGCTTTATGGCTTTCCGCTGAATGAGGTCAAGCAAACGCCCGGGCGTGGCGATAATAACCTGCTGGGGTTTGCGCAAATCTTTTATTTGGGTAGAAATATTGGCTCCACCATACACCGAGAGCACATTAACCCGAGGCATATACTTGCTAAACAAGCTGAGTTGCTCGGCTATTTGCTGGCCCAGTTCGCGGGTAGGGGCCAAGATTAGTGCTTGGGTAGATTTATCTTCGGGATCAATTTTCTCCAGTAATGGCAAGCCAAAAGCTGCGGTTTTACCGGTACCGGTTTGTGCCAGTCCTATAAAATCGCGGTAATTATCAATAAGTTGAGGAATTGCCTGTTCTTGAATTGCGCTGGGTTTCTCAAAACCCAAATCGGCCAGAGCGCGCAAAAGCTCTTGTGATAGGCCTAAATTCTCAAATGATGTCAAAAAAATACGTTCTTTAATTGGGCGGCAAAGGTCGCTTTATTATCTGATATACAGCACCGTTTGAAAAAATTTAGCCGCTGCGCTGCCTTTTGCCTATTATCCTTGATATTCAGGGCTTTTATTGTGCAGAACCAAGCAGCCCATGCAGGGGCTAGGGTGGAGGTATAGTGACTTAAGTTGCCTAAATAAGATTCGGTGGCCTAAAAAAAACAAAGGCTGCCTTTTCGGGCAGCCTTGTAAGACTTGAAATAAAATAGTAAGCGGGATTAGACTACTCTAACCTTTATAGCATTCATTCCTTTTCTGCCTTCTGTAAGGTCAAATTCTACTTCGTCACCTTCGTTAACCTGGTCAACTAAACCAGTAGCGTGAACAAAGTACTCTTTTTTCGAACTGTCTTCGATGATAAAGCC